GTATCATATAGTGCTTCATCATAATTAAGAGGTTCTGTATTGGGATCTTTAGGGATTCTATCATAATATTCTCCAAAGAGCATAAACCAGAGAGGTTTTTTAATAATTCTCCCACTACGACTAGTCACTACAGGTGCAGTTGGATTTTGTTGTTGAATCACAATATCATTTTCTAGAACTGAAGCCTCATGTTATCCTCCACACCTTGCGGTGCTGGGATATCATTAAGTTCTTCTTGAAGTGCAGGTTGCACAACAATTTCAGGTTGCTCAACATTACTCCCACTACTTTGGGGTAGTAAGATGTCAGGCAATTGCTCTTGTGCGTTCTGCTGCCTATTGACATGTCTCTCATTATGATAATGCATTGGTATATCAATACTAGCTTCCAGGATACATTCCAGAGATGAGTCATTAGTTATTCCATTACTTAATTCATGTAAAACTAGTTTACTTCTAGGAATATGGTTTATTAAATAGTCCAATTCTAAAAATTAGGCATTTGTCGTAACAATTACCTTCTTTTCTTTGGGAAAATATAATAAACCTCCTTTAGTTTCTTTTATATATCCAATAAATATGCATAATTCTGTCCCCGATTATAATTTATCCGCTTTCCCTTTCAGCACATGTGCAGGACAACCCCAAACCCGAATGTGCCGTAAACTTGGCTTGCGCCCAGTCCACAATTCCGCTAAGGTTGAAGGTACTGACTTTGAAGGAATCAAATTTAGAATGTAATTTGTTGGTTCTGAGGCATATCCCCAAAAGGAAAAAGGCAAATCATAATAACTTAACATTGATCTAACAATTTTCAAAAGGGTTCTATTTATTCTTTCTGCCAAACCATTTTGTTGTGGTATTCCTAGGCAGATAATTGAGATGTAATTCTACAATTTGATAAGTATTTAATGAATTTCGTAGAAAGTCACCCACCACCACGACAGTTCGCAATGTTTTGATATATTTATCATATCGTTTCTCCGTTTTCGTCTTAAATTTGAATTTCTCAAAGCATTCAGACTTACGACGCAACAGATAAATGTATCCATATATTGAGTAATCATCTGTGAAAGTCACAAAATACTCAAAACTACCTCTTGCTTGTATATTCATAGGGCCACACAAATCAGAGTGAATTTTTGAGGGAAAACGTCTCTTGGTCATTTTAGCTTCTGAACATGATTCGCATGTTGGCAGTGCCTCCATTTTCAATGAACTCAAAGGTACATCAAAAATCAATCTCGAGATCCTATTTAGATTTATATGACCTAGACGTAAGTGCCATAATTAAGTTTGGCTCAATTCAGAAATATGTTTTCTTTTATCTGGAAAATTAATGTTATTTAATTCTTTTGATTGTAGCACATTGAGAGAGATATCAAGAATAAAAAGGTCATGTACTCTAGTAGTAGTGTAGATAAAACACTTATTAATTATTAGCAAAATAAATATTATAACCAACATCTATATTTTCGAAACCGAAATCAAATTCCTTCTTATAGAAGGTACATAGAGAACATCTTTCAAAACTAAAACTCTATCACTAATAGACGAAACTCTAATATCTCTTAATGCTAAAGCTGGTGATGGCTCGCCATTGGCTTGAAAAACTATCACGACCCAAGTTTGCCCTCCGTGAACTGTCGTGACGCCACCTAGTCTCTACGACTAGGCAAGCCTAACAATCGCGGAAACAAAATGTGGAAAAACTAATAAAAATTGAAGATAAGCAAATATAGAAACGTTTAAGATGCCGCTCGGCATATACTAATACAAGATCTAAAAAAGTGAACAACTTCTCAAAATCCGGAATCTCATGAAATCACAAGCTTTTAAATGACTACAGGTGTCTAACTCCAGAATGTCTAAACAAAAGTAAATACAGAAGGGCTAATACTATGAGAGAGAATGGAAAAGGACTCCCCGGTCTGCGGATACGGCAAATATAACTTGAAGTCTCTGGAGGATCGCCTCGCCTCAAGTGTAGTGGGACTGAGTCGAAGTACCTGGATCTGCACATGAAAAACATGCACAGAAAGGGCATGAGTACACCACAACGGTACTCAGTAAGTGTCAAGCCTAACCTCGGTCGAGTAATGACAAGGAAGGTCAGGGCCCTACTGATTATAGCTGAAAAACGAGGTAAAACAGTATAGAATACGACAATATAATTAAATGCTAACAATAAGAAGTAACACAGGATAATAAGAATAACAATAACTATAACAGACAAAATAATCACAAAAAGAATACCACTCAACACATAAATAACAAGCGGGGATCTCTCGGTATCCCGAGGAGCTCTTAGTATCCTCAATATGTGTGCTGGGGATCTCTCAGTATCCCGAGGATCTCTTAGTATCCTCAATATATATGCTGGGGATCTCTCGGTATCCCAAGGATCTCTTAGTATCCTCAATATACGTGCTGGGGATCTCTCGGTATCCCGCACTACAGTCCAAATCAATATATGTGTTGGGGATCTCTCGGTATCCCGCACTATAGTCCAAATCATTATATGTACAAGGGATCTCCCAGGATACCGTCCCGCAGTTCCAAAGTAAACACACAACAACAACATGAAGAATGCTCAATTAAATTCAATTTCATACCAAGGTAAAACAGATATTTCTAACCTAGCATGTTACACATAATTCAAATAAGGCAGTTTGAGCAAGTAAAGCAATTAAGTCAATTAGTCATGCTTCCCTAAGCTAACAACAGACTTAAATTGCAAGTAGTATAAACAGGAAAGGAAACACAATTAAAGTTACTTAATAAAAATAGGATTTTTAATAATTAGAACAAGTACGCACTCATTACCTCACGTACAAGGCATTTCAAATATCAATAATACCAAATCCTAAGGGGAGTTCCCCCCATAAGGTTAGGCAAGCCACTTACCTCGAACCGTCTCAAAATCAACCTGAAACCACGTTCTTGCCACGAGTATTCGACTCCAAATGGCTCAAATCTATTCAATTCAATCGCATAATGTAAATATAACTTCAAGTAACTGATTCCACAAATAAATTCTAAGCTAATATGCGAAATTAGGTAAAATGACCAAAATGCCCCCGGGCCCACGTCTCGAAATTAGGTAAAATTTACAAATTCAAGATCCTCATACTCCCACGAGTTCATTTATACCAAAACTATTCCAATCCGAGATTAAAATCTAGATCAAATCCCAAAATTAGGCCTAGGAACTTTTTTCAACTTTTCTCCAAGTTTTCACCCCAAATTCGAATTCAAAGGAATTTAAGCATAGATTCGTGGAAATTAATCAAAACTAAGTAAGAATTACTTACCCAAAACACCCAGGTGAAAATCCCTCTCAAAATCGCCAATCCCGAACTCCCAATTCAATTTCTAAGGTTTTTAGACTAAACCCTTGATTCTGCCCCTTTTCTGATCAGTGAAACCGCATCTGCGGCACTAGGACCGCTCCTGCGGTCCCGCTTCTGCGTAGACCAAGTCGCACCTACGACTTTTCATTAAACCCAAATTTCCGCTTTTGCAACTGCCTTTCCGCACCTGCGGTCTTGCAGGTGCGTTCTACTTCTCGCACCTGCGGCTTCTGGAGCCTGGACCAAATTCTGCTTCTACGGTCACCTAGACGCTTCTGCGACGCCACACCTACGGTCCCACATACGTAGGTGCGGTTATGACAGGTTCATCAATCAGATTTTTGCCCAAGTCCAAAAATCAATTTTCGTTAAGCACTCGAAACTCACCAGAGGCCCCCGGGACCTCAACCAAACATGCCAACCAATCCTAAAACATTATTCAAACTTGTTCCAACCTTCGGAATTATCAAAACAACATCAAAACACCAATTTAACATCGGATTCAAGCCTAAGAACTCCAAAAACTCTCAAATTACGTTTCCAATCAAAAAGTCTATCAAACCTCGTCCGAATGACCTGAAATTTTGCACACATGTCACATTCAACACTACGGAGCTACTCCAACTTTTGGAATTCCATTCCGACCCTTAGATCAAATTCTCACTATCGAACCAAAAACTTCAAAAATTCAGCTTTCGGCATTTCAAGCCTAAATAATCTACGAACCTCCAAAACACAAGCCAAACACGTATTGAAACCCGAAATCACCCAACGGAACTAACGGAACCAATGGAATTTCATTTCGAGTCCGTCTTCACACTTCTTCAACTACGGTCTAAATTCTACAACTTAAACTCTCATTTAGGGACTAAGTGTCCAAAAACTCTCCGAAACTCCAAATAAATCTTCCCGACAACTTACAATAGCAGAAACAAACACGGGAAATGCAGTTAATAGGGGATCGGGGCGTTAATTCTTAAAATTACCGGCCGGGTCCTTACAAAAATGCAAACTACATTCTGACTTAGACGTCGTGTTTCCTGAAACCCCTGCAAAGTAGTGCAGATATGATTAGTGGCTCCTGAATCTACACACCAAAACATAGTAGAGACAGTCGCTAAATAAGTTTCAACGATATTTAAATTCGAATTACCTTGCCTATTCAACTTTGCCAGATAGGTAGGGCATTGCTTTTTGTGATGCTCAGGCTTCTTGCAATGATAACACTTTTCTTTGGGCTTTTTCACACTAGACGCACCTTCAGGTGCCAAATCTTTTTGAGCCTTCTTCTTTTTCTTACCGCCTTTCGACTTAAAAATTGAAGCTTTCTCAACATTCAGTGCCACAACTAGAGCTTGCTATTTGATAATAGATTATGCCGTTTGCATCTCATTTAACAATTTTGCTAGTGACAAATCCATTTTGTTCATATTATAATTCAAGCGAAATTGTTGAAAACTGTCAGGCAGAGTCTGCAGGACCATCTTAACTTGAGATTCCTTATCAATCACAGCTCCAAGGACTTCCAGTTCATTCAAAAGACCCATCATCTTCAGAACATGGTCCATGATCGATGATCCTTCAGCCATCTTGGTGTTCAAAGGGGCTTTCATGGCTGTATGCTTAGCAGCACGATTTTGCCAAACATTTATTTATGACTTTCGAGCATGTCATAAGTAGACCCCATAGTCTGTTGCTGATGTTGCAAAATATTCGCCATAGAGGCAAGACTGTAACATCGTGCCATCTCATCAGCCTTGACACATTTGTCATAGGCCTTAACCTGATCATCAGTAGCATTTTTATCATGTTTTTCTGGGAACTCCTTAGTGATTACAAATTTGTCTTCAGCAGTTAGGACAATATCAAAGTTCCTTTTCCAGTCAACATAATTTGGGCGTTCTAACTTATTTTGGTTCAAAATTGAGGTAAGTGGGTTGAATGGAGACACGTTAATGTGAGAGATATTCATATTAAATAAATCATTATTTATGTAATTAGAATAATTAAATTCAAAATGGCACATTACACATACAACCATGCTCATTAAACAGTTAGATTCATTAGAGAAACTTAACTGTTCATGCAGAATATATAAGTTATGTAAGATATTTACCCCATAAATTAAAACAGGACCAACTCATATGGAGAGCAAACTATTAATTTAAGATAGGTAAATATCACTTTTATAAACTCTAGTTTTATTGAATCAACATGTAACTCAGTTGGAGAGTTAATACAAGTAATCAAATAACTAGAGGCAAAACTATAGTAATCATCTATAATGAACTTATCTGATGTGGAAGAAGACTTATGTCAACATATAAATTCATTATATTATTGTAAAACATGATTGAAACCCATGGGAATTGAACCCTACCATCACTATTTCTTTTTAAAAAAATATTAATTTTTTTCTTCAGAAAATAGAAAAATGACCAAAACCCCATCTAAACGACCCCGAATGCCCAAAGAACAACGTACATCATAAGCAAAGCTTATGTGTATTGCTCACTGGGTCGTTTCCAATGAACCTACCAAATTTGAGGTCAATCGGAGTTCGATAAAATTTCAGGATTTCAAATTCATGACCTATTCGAAACATTCTGTTTTTGGCGTTTTTTAAGGTTTTGATTATTTTGACTCGTTCAAATCACATAATATACTTATGTATGTTAGTTCATAATTTCAGAACTCAAAATAAAATTATTATAAAATTACAGTGTCGTTTTTATATATAAAAAACTATTTTCATGTATCAAATACAACAAACATGGGAAAAACGACACTATTTTCACCCTGTCACGACCCGGAATCCCCATCGTCGGGACCGTGATGGCGCCTAACATCATACTTGCTAGGCAATCCAACATTAGAGGTTTATTAGCCAATCTTTTTACGTTTCAGTGATTAACAATAAGTAAGCTATAACAAGTCGAAGTGAACGCGGAAGTAAATAAATAACAACTTTGATTATATACTATTACTACCCAGAATTTGGAGTCACAATTCACGAACATACTAAGATTTTTACTACAAGTATTTGTCCGAAAGAAAATACAATTGTTTGCGAAATAAGGAAAACAGTAAAGTATGGGTATAGGAGGGGACGCTAGGGCCTGCGGACGTCAACAAGACTACCTTGGGTCTCATAGCAAGTGAATCCTACACCTAACCTCTCGATCAACCCGAACTTGCTCCAAAATCTGCACAGGAAGTACAGAGTGCAGTATCAGTACAACCGACCCCATGTATTGGTAAGTGCCAAGCCTAACCTCGACGAAGGAGTGACGAGGCTACGGTGGGCACTCACAATATAATCTGCATACAGTATATAATAAAGGCAGAAAGGAAACATAATAAATTGAAATAGTAACTTGCAAGAGGTGAATACAACTCTCAAACTATTTCATCAGTGTTCAGCTACTACCAATCCTTAAGTGCAATTTAAGACTACCGTACAGCTAACACAGTTAAGGAGAAGTATAAACATATAGGTTGTTGCGGCGTGCAACCTGTTCCCACCGTACATATCATATTCCTCCAGTATTTCCTCTTATTAACATAAATAACATAATATAAATAAAAGTATTGTGGTATGCAACCCGCTCCCACCATATCACAACATTCACAATCAAGTTTACCCTTATTACACCACAATCCACCCTTATTACACTTGTTGCGGCGCACAACCCGATTCCACCATCTCAGTATAAGTTAATCATTATGTACAAGAATTTCATAATTCAAATCACATAACCCTTCACAAGGCTTAGCTTCAAACCAAAACAACTAGGAAACTTGTACACTATGAAACTTTACACAAGTAATACTGCTCAGCGAGACCAATTCAGAATATACCATGAATGTACCGATAACTAGCTTAAGCAAATAATAGGAGACAACAAAGCTATGAAATAACTAATACCTTCAACCAAGAGAAGCAATGTCTAACAAGTAGAAATTAAACATGGAAATACAAGTAAAACATGTTGTCACACCTCCTTTTTACATACCCGAGAGGGTACAAGGGAGTTTTTCCAATTAAAGGACAATCAAAACGGGATTTGTTTATTTATTTCAGAGTCGCCACTTGGGAGATTTAGGGTGTCCCAAGTCACCAATTTAATCCCGAATCGAGGAAAAGAGTGACCCCATATTACAGTCTGCGTACCAGAAATCCGGATAAGGAATTCTATTAGCCCGGGAGAAGGTGTTAGGCATTCCCGAGTTCCGTGGTTCTAGCACGGTTTCTCAACTGTCGTNTTTTTCCAATTAAAGGACAATCGAAACGGGATTTGTTTGTTTATTTCAGAGTCGCCACTTGGGAGATTTAGGGTGTCCCAAGTCACCAATTTAATCCCGAATCGAGGAAAAGAGTGACCCCATATTACAGTCTGCGTACCAGAAATCCGGATAAGGAATTCTATTAGCCCGGGAGAAGGTGTTAGGCATTCCCGAGTTCCGTGGTTCTAGCACGGTTTCTCAACTGTCGTATTCGGCTTATTTATCTGATTTTAAATACAATTATGAACCGGTGTGCCAATTTCAACTTTTTACCACTTTATTATTATTATTTTAAAGGAATGTGAACATCGTTTAAAACATGTCTTTGGATTGCGTCACATGAAATGCACCCGCGATCCGCAACATATTTTTATTCAATGTTTTGGGATTTGGATTTGGGTCGCATGAAATGCACACCCGAGCTTAAGAAGGTAGATTATTAAACACGCGCCTAAAGAGACTATCGTGTTATTATTCTGGGAAGGCCGTCAGATTTGCTAAATGGCCTGCCCTGGAAACTAAGTACTTTGATATATACATTTAATGAGGGCCCCACAGTTTGTGCATTATTTGCTTGTCGAGGCTCGTCTCATCTTTATTTTAAAAGGATATCCTGTGGTGGCTACATTTCGTGTTACGTTTGTCTCTACTAATGAAAGCAAAATGATCCTACTTAATTACATGCTTGCAGGTTATTTTATAGAGGGTTTCCGAATGCTTTCGCAAATTCAGAAGTATGGCCACGTACACGGGCAGCTTATCGAATATTATGGGCCCACACCCAGCCCAACCAGTATCGGCTGGGCCTGGGCCACTGCTTTTCCGATGAAAGCCTGCTTGGTTCGTTCGACTTGGGCTCAACCTTCGTGAGGTTGAGAAATGCATACTTGTGCTATTTGTTCTAAAGGCATGGTTTGCCAATTATAATGAGGCAGTTTGTCAAAAGGAAATGAAATTAGCTAACAATGGATAGTTTTCATACCTAACATTCATTAAGGATATGCTAATCACAAACATAGCTAAAGTCTAAGATATAACCTACTGCATTGTGAATCCTTTTATCTACCAGCCTATATACACAATCTGACATCCAGTTACCCTACATTGACATTCACTACATATGAGGGCTACCTCCAGTATCCGAGCAAAGATGTAAACTATAATACATTACATGATATTCAATATAACAGGCTATGTATGAAAATAACATCTTCAACTCTTCTCTTTTGTATTCATGCTCAACTTTCAAGTTACATTGACAGTGTATTAGTCGTGTACCTGGTATAGAAAAGCAAAAGAAGAAGGAGAGTGATCAACTGAGTAGTATGCAACAAACACAACAACAGCAGCAAACAGAAGCACACTTAGTCGAACAGCCCCAAACCAGTAAAAGAGATAGTCCAAGAAAAGCAGACCAAAGCTCAACAGTAATTTAAGAGACAGACCCAACAGCGAGTCCAGAAAACCAAATAGCAACAACCCACAACAATCAATAAAAATAACCAGTTGCGACAGTTGCTTAAAACCAAAATAGTATTCCCGGAGTAAACTGATGGAACAATATTCAGCCAACAAAGAACTGGACACTACCAAACTGGGAATCCAACAGTGCTAAACCGTACACAGACTAGTACGAGAGGTAGTGATTTCTGATTTTTGTTCACACTCAAAAGCAAAGACAGGTTCAGGCCTTTTGATGTAAAGCTTAACCTGAGAATGCAAAACTTAACACACTTCTTTTTTAGAAAACTTCAGCTATTTTTCAACTGTTTTTCTGACCCCTTTCTTTGTTCTAAACAGTCTTATTTATAGGCAGAAATGGCAAGCACTAAGCTGCCTTGATCCCCTCATTCCTTTCCTGCCCATATCCCCTTAAAACTAATCAGAAGAATGCCCCATGCTCATCCATTCGACAGGCCTCTAGCCTGTATTTTCTGCCCAAAAGCATGGGCAGCCCTTTTTATTCAATCAGCCCCATGCTACCAAGTTTGGTTCTCCACTATTACATTAGTTTAATCCTAATTCAGTACCCTATTTGTCAGCCCACTTAAACTAATCATTTCTGTTCTTTTTTACACCCAAAATACCCCTGATAACCCCTGGTTATCACTGGCTTGCCCTGCTTATAGCAGGAAATTTGAACTTCTGAAAGTTCAATTTCCAGCTGCCCTAGACTAAATCTTTTAGTTGTTTATAATGCAGTTACAAACTAACATTCACAGATAATGTCAAACATCCAATTAACAACACAGGTTCGTTCAATTATGTGAAGTTGTATGAATTAGAATATTTGAACATTCAGTCTTATAAACTTAATCGACGACGTTTATCAAATCGACTATACTAATTATAACAAGGAACAATCAGTCGATTAATCAAACAACACGGACATGGTCCCAAATGGCTTCAGACAACTTTGCACGACACTGGAGGCTATATGAGTTATCTATGCGACGACTAATCTAATTGAGCATGTATATCACAGAACGTATTCAAACATACACAGAAGACAATCAACCAAATAAAAGGCCTTACAAAGACAGAAGAAATTGGAAGAAAATATCAGAAATACCAAACAATCACAACAAAACATGCTAACGAACTCAATCAATATTCAAACAAAACTAAAAAGAAAAAGGAAAACTTACTGTGAATGCTTAACAAAGGCCGAACCAGGTATGAACT